TTAAACTTATGTTCCACGTCATTTAGGAAGAAAGCCTCCTTTTTGCAGGAAGCGTATTTTAAGAGGTGAAGTTTCACTTGAGTTGTAAGGAGCCTGAAAAAAAGCCAATGGTCCTGAAAATATTGCACAATGAAGCGCGGCGAAAAAGTCACACAGACACACACGTCTGGATACAGACTCCCAAACTCTTGAACCCTTCAACTTTTAACCCCGACGAGGGGTTTTTCCAATATAGCATTATCTAATTATACACGAATACACAAAGAGTTTTAATTCTGAGGGTCTCCTTTCTGGTTCACTGCTAACAATTACCGCCACAGTATTAGAGCTCCTTTCTTTCACTATGGTCTCTATCATGGCTCCTTTACTGGTTTCTTTCTTCTCCTTCTGTCTGCTCTCCAATGACCAAGCAGTTCTCTTCACCTTTTGTCATCTTTCAATCTTTTATTCATTTTCATAATTTTTTTTCCCTTTCACTGGCTTCTTTCCCTAAGAAGCGTTTTTGTAGAGCCCCACTGAATTAAAGTAATTCACAAGTGGCTAGATCAGACTGATCTGCGCTACTTCAGATTAGGGCTGCAACTAACAATCATTTTGTAAATCGATTCATCTGTTATTACTTCAATAAATCGATTGATAATAACATAGCCAAAGATTCCTTAAAGAAGACATCTTACGAAAAAAACATTTTCTATAGTTTTTTTTTTACAATTTTTGCATAATTGTTGCTCTAAGTGGGTCGCTCTGTCAGCTGAAGGCATGTTTTAGAGTCTCTATACTCCAGTTAGCGATTAAATATTACTAAATTACTTGACAATTATTTCAATAATCGATTGATCATGATAAAAACGATTGTTTTAGCCCTACTTCAGATTCACACGAACTGTAAATACATAAGAATGGGAATAGTTTGGAAGAGAAGTGAGGTAAAAGTGCTAATTCGTCACATTTAGAGACTCTTGGGATGTTTTTTTAAACTGATTTTGTGTAAAAGTTTTAGAAAAAGGGTTAACTCCAACCTTAACCCAGGCTGGAGAGATTCATTTCAATCAAACTGTGAAAAAACGTACATGACAGTAGATTCACTCATACTCGTTAGTTACATTTACTCAGTTACAGTTACTTGAATGGAATACGTTTTTGACAAACATATACTTTAAAGAGTAGTTTTACTGCATCACAATTTTTATTTTGATGATATTTTAATAAGATATTGCTACTCTTTATTTAAGTAAAATGTTTGCCTACTCTATCCATTATGAGTAACTTCATTAAAAAATAAACAAAATTGTTCAAAACAACAAAAAAACAACAAAAAAACTGAAAAACACAAACAGTAAATGTCTCCCTCAAAGTGAATTTATTTTTTTCTACAAATGCTGCCATAAAATGTAGAGGTCAGGCTAATATAATACAGTAAGGAGTGAATGTGTTCACCGCAGGTACTGGTCTCCTAAGTTCTCTATTAAAAAAGAAAATTGGGTCAAAATTATCAGTTTTTTTGGTGTTTTAGAGTTTTTTTCTTAATAACATAATTGTTTTTTTTTGTTTTTTGTTTTTTTTATTATAGTCTTGAAAAACTCAAATTTGCCCACACCTTTACATCTGAGTCTGCCAATATAACATTATTAGTTTACAATTTCAGATGTTATGATGAGTTACTTTTCACTCTTACTTGAGTAAAATTATGATCATAATAAAATTATAAAAACAAAAAAACTGAAGTAAAATTATAACAAAATAGTGTTACTCTTACTTAAGAAAAATTTCGGGGTCCATCTCTTCCCATATCAAAGTAATGAATGTGAATAATCTTCCAGTACTCCCTTCTGATCCATATATTAGTGTGGTATTAACTAATTAATCTACAGCATAATCACACTGCCACAGAGTAGAGTAGAGGAGTTGATTTCATTTTACATCGTCGACCAAGTTTAAACTAACAACATAAACTATCCGCTACTCAACAAACAGTCAGAGTCCTATGACTGTAATATAGGGCTGCAACTGACGATTGTTTTGCAAATCGATTAATATAATTATTTTTTTCAAATAAAAAACCGAATGCCAAAAGGTCCCTAAAAAACAATTTTTTATGACATTAAACCAGGTGAAACTAAAAGTTTTTCATTTGAGGAGTTCTGGATAGAGAATATTGATAGACGAAATTGTTTTTTTATCTTAAATTCAAAATGTTTATACATTATTTTACAATTTTGGCATAATTCCTGCTCTAAGTGGCTCACTCTGTCAGCTAAAGGCAGGTTTTAGAGTCTCTATAATACAGTTAACGATTAATAGATAACCAAATTAGTTAAGGATTATTTCAATAATTGATTAATCAGAATTAATCCCATCTATATCTCATAACAAGCAGGTCCGTTCATACCACTGAAAATCAGTAAAGGTTGGAATCAAGCGTGACCGGACATAATCTAATTAGACAGCAGAATATCAACTGATTATAGACAAATCTGAGGAAACATCCAAGAGAAAACAAGGGAATACTGTAACCATACAGCTAACTTTGGCTTCTTAAGCTTTTAGTCTTTTAAAAACTATAAAACATAAAATACTGTTTAAGAACAAAGAAGTGAAAAGGCCAACCCAATGCCTCCGCCTGCAGGGCTCTATCCGTACTCTTAAATAAACACACAAACAAGAACCTGCCAGCCCAATACAGGGGCAAATACAAGAGGTTAAAAGATCAAGAAAGAGAAACCTCCCCTCGTTATCGTTGTTGATTTCAAACCGTGGTAAAATCTTAGAATAAAATCATCGTTCTTTTGGGGATTGAGCTGAGGTCGGAGTTCAACAGGCCCAGCTGAGACAAGCTGTTTTTGCTAATCACAACCTGTCCAAAGCTCTAAATGTGAACGTTTTTTGACAAAATAACAAATGAAAAAAAAAAAAAAGTCGAAAGAGAAGATGTAGGCAATAATAACAAAAAGCTAACCCCTTAAAAAACCTCTAAATTCAGTCAAATTTCTTGGTTTTGGCACAAACAGACAGACATTTCACTTTATAAACCCTTCATCTCAAACTAATGTGTTTCCAACAAGATCCAATTCAAAATATATAAAGTATGTGGCTGCAAACCCGATCTTAATATGAATATTAACAGCAACCTAACAGCATTAGAAGAAGTGACAACATTTTCTAACTCTTTCAAAACATACAGAACTAGACTCCTCAAAAGCATAAAAGGATCAACCCTGTAGACTTTGATGAATTCAAATAACACATGAATTATGCTCCTTTTATCAATCATTTTTGCTTTAATTTTAATTTCATACCAAATAGTTGGACAAAAATATGTCAACTTTTATTTACAACCAACCCATTTATTTGGTCACACATTAAACTGACCTGCTGCTGAGATTTTAAAACATTCAGGCCGAGAAAAACAGAAAACAATCGACCAACCAAGATGTAGAAAACGGTAAGACCCTTTCAAACCTACAACTTTTTGACCAAATGAAAAACAAAATCTTGTTAGGCATTAGAAAAAAATATATATATATTTTCACTTAATGTTTTTTAAGGATTTGCTGTCTTTTGGTCTACATAAAAACTTTAAAAAACTGAATATTACTGATCTGGAAGCCAAAAACATCTGATAGCGACACAATTTCCCATTCTTATCATTTAGCCAGCTGAACATTTAGGCACACAAAAATGGATCTGTAACTTTAAACCAGTGCTTTGTAAGCTGGGTTCATATTATATTAAAAAAAAAGGGACCAGACCTGAACAAACACACAGCTACAGAAGGAGGCAGGTGCTACCGCCTAGCTCTGTGATAGTCTGGGAAGAAAGGGGCTCCTGAGACCAGGGTCACCTCCCAGAAGACCACCTCAGCTCTGCTCTGGTTCCCAGATGTTCTCATGCATGCAGGCTAACATGTACGCAGACACGCTCGGACCTCCTGAACCCCACGGAAACTGAAAACAAATGAACCTGAAGGAGGAGACATGAAGCACTGCTGCAGGCGTTACCCAGCCACAGAGTGGTGTTTGTTTTTGTGTGGATACAGACTACCTGACCCAGATAGAGCAGCTTATTGGGTTTTATCTAACTGTCAGGTATTTTCGTTTGTCAAGTCCTCCTAGGAGTGAGAAAACAGAACCAAGATGAATTGTGATTCTGCATGCATGTAAACCAGTGTGAAAGTATGAGTCTGGAGACGACTTGTTGAATGCGTGATCCAAACCTGAGGCTGCCGAGGAAATGAGGGGAGCTGCAGCAAGGCCATTAGGATGCAGATCAGGAGAGACGTGTGTATGTGCTCAGTTAATTTGGGGGGGTTCAACAGAAAACCATCTATTATAATGACAGGAAGCAGGAAGTACAACCCCTTTACAGTCACATGGCTGCCAGCTGTATTGGCAACAAGAGGAGGAGAGATAGAGAAAACGATAGGGAGAAAGTGTCTGCATGTTAATGTGTGTGTGTGTGTGTGTGTGTTAGAGAGTGGAGAGTCATAAGCTGAACTTCTATTTGCATTCCAGTCCATTTAAAGAAGCATTTATAAACTACTGACAAAGAAAACAGCTCCGACCGCGCTCCGTCCAAGCATCCGTTCAAGTCCAAAAAATGCTTCGACATTTACGCCTTAAACCGCCGATGCTCTTCCTGTTCCAATGTGGGAATAAAGCTCAGATCTGGCCATGTGGATGCGTTTAGTAGCCGCAGCTCAGCACACATGCAGACGCCCACTCACAGGGAGCCAAATATGCACATTTTTGCATGAATGCACGTGTGGTCTACTGTTCTCTACAGGGGGAGAACATGCACACTTAACAACAGCTACAACTGTTGTTTTCTATGACCTTTGTAGCAAATTTGCATCTGATGAGAACAAATCATATATTTCTAAATCTTTAAGCATTGACATTTAAGAAGCTTTATTTGGAAATAAACCTTCAGGTTCACATGAATGTGACTGCTTCTTTCCACTTTATTTTTTGAAAGATTTAAGCACATATATGAATAAATACCTTCAGAAAGCAGGGTGTTGACTGGTGTTTGTGTCTCCTTGCAGTAAGAGACCACCTCTTTGGGAAGGAAGTCTACCTGTGTGATCTTAGAGGCTCCAAGCCTCAGCATCTTGCGCCTGCATGAAAGCAGAGACATTTTCATGATTGGAATTATGTCGCAAACAAATCCAAAACTGTATTCTATGTAGGGTTAAACTCTATATTTTAAATCATTAAAAAAAAGTCTGAGAGGGGAAAGATATACCCAAGCTCAGAATCAGCCTGCAGCTGCAGCACAGAGGGGTCTGTGTCCCATTGCAGTGTCCTGATGTGACCAACAGAGGGAGCAAAAGAGGACATGAAAGGTTACAAACACAAATATTTCACATGGAAGTATGTCCATTATGCATCCACATACAGTATATTTTGGGATCTTTACTCTCATTTGGAAAAGTTTAATTTTGGTTTAAAAAGATGGACAAACTCATTCATTGATTCTTATATTTAATACGAGCATCTTTTTATTTAGAAATGATTTTTTTTTTAAATGGAACAACATTTTGAATTTCATACAAAAAAGCCATAAAGAAATTATAAAGGTCCATCTTTTTGTTCCAGTTATCACACAAATAAAAACACATTACATATTAGGAGCTGGCACTTTTCCTTCCTCTTGAAAATGCACGTTTATTGAACGCCTGGAAAAGCCAAATTACATACAGAAGTATTCATACCCTTTAAAGTTTTTGTTTACATTTTATGTTGCAACATCAAACTGTGTCCATCTGCACATGGTATATGACAGACTAGCAGGAAAATCCTTTATAATTGCTGATTGGACTAAATGATATATTATTTTCTGATTTTTGTTTTTTGAATCTCAAAAGTGTGGCATGTGTTTGTATTCAGGGCTGCAGGTGTCAAGGGGTGTAGCTCCACCAGCATTTATCCCATTGTTTTTTGCAGAACTGATTAGGGCTTTCTGATCAGGTCGAAAATGCAAGTCTTTCAAAATATTCAATCAGATTTTTCATGTGGAGTTTGGCTGTACAGTTCTGATGCATGGCTGTGTTAGCACAGGGATCTACAGAGGCATTTTTTAGCTAAATAAAATTTGTCTAGAGTCAAAAATATTACATTAACATTTAGAAAAAAACAAACAAGCTAATACTTTTTGGTTAATCTGTAGATTAAAATTAATTTTTTTTGTGAAATCAAACATTTTTTTAATGTTTAGGTTTTAAAATAAAGAAAGAGAAACTTTTATTAAGAATAGGATGGATATTTTCTTCTATGGGATGTTGATATTTGTAAAATCATACTTTAAATTAATCTTTTTCCCACCTAATTAAAAAAAACTACTAATAAGAAATATTACAGATATTTTAAGTGTTATTATTTTTGCCAAAATTTCATAAAGAAGTAGAAACAAACTACTAAAACTTTAACTTAACTTATACCAATTTTATTAAGAGCCATTGCTTTGGAGACGGGGATGGGGGAGTTTCAGCACCCATAACAGAAAATGAACCTCTGGCTCTAGTTTCGATATTTCTCACCCTCTTTCTTCTAGATTTGACATATTTTGGCCCCACCCACCTTCCCATCCCCCCTGACCATCTTCTCTGTCACTTCTACAAAAAAAAAAAAAAAAACAAGCATCCCCAAAACATGATGCTGCCACCACCATGTTTCACCACAAGGAGAGTGGATTCGCAGGAATGCATGATTAGTTTTGGCATGCAAGTAAAAAAAAAAAAGACACAGCTCACTGCGTTGGTGTGTAACATAAAATCACAATTAAATCCAGCTTAAGTTTGTGGTTGCAACCTTAAACATGATGAAAAAAATGCAAAGGGTTTTTATTTACGTATAAGACATTTAAGAGCTTAATTCAGCATTTCAAACTCCAGCTAATATGTACAGTAGTTGATGAACTAGGCAAACAGTGAGGAAAAGTGCTGAGCTCATGGCTGCATTCCTCTGCTGTCCTAACAGGTAGAAATCAATCACTTAAGGGAAAATCAAAGCGTTTCTCAAGTAAAATATACCAGCTGTAAAAAGGTAACACCTGACCTCCAGATGATACATTTCAGAGCAGAAAACAGACGCGTTTACGCATTCAGCAAGTGTCACACAGCGCCAAAACCGAGCCCTGAGAGGTTTCTAACAACTTGACAGGCTGGCTGTGAAACTGGTGGCATGGATGGCACTTTAAGCAACACTGTCACCTCTGTGAGGACTGAAATGACCTCCGCTGCTCAGCTCATGCGAGCAGAGAAGCTTGGAGCTGTTATTAGAGGCGACAGCAGCGCTAAAAATGGGATGGGAGAGGTGTGGGGAAGAAGAAGAGGCGGGAGGTAACACTCTTTGATTTTCTAAATCAACACGGGGAACACTTCCGTAAGACCAAAACCTTTCTGTTCTGAGCAGAACCTCAGTCACAGAAAGATACGGAATGGGGTTTCATGGGTTTGACATGAAAATGCTTACCTTGAACTCTGAGCTTGAGGCTTGTTTTTAGAGAAACCTGACCTACAAAGGACACACACACACACACACAACCACAAATGGAGAAGCTCAAATTGGCATGCCGTCATCCAAGGTGGATTTGGGGCTGGAGAAGTCCTCTTCAATTCTTCAAATAAAGAATCAAACATGTTTTCGCTTTCTTTTGGAAACCTGAGCTGACGTCCATCGATTCTTCAGCCCCAAATCCACCACTCTCCATACCGAACAACCAATCACCAACGATCCTGAACACACCACTCACACATCCGCCTCTCAATAAGAAGCAAATGGAAAGCGTTTGATGACCACAGAATTCACCAGAACAAGCTGCTGTCATGTCGGCGCTAACAGCGGCAACACTGATGGATTAGAATGTAGCATGCTGCAGTGTGACCAACAGCCTGTAGAGGAGCAGCAAAAAGGGGGAAAATCTTCCATTTCTTTTTATTTTATTTTGTCAGATTTTTGCTTTTTAACAAACAAAAAGCTCAGTAAATGTAAAGATTAATATTTGATGGTTCAGTACTATGTAAATTACTAAAACAGATACAGTGCCTTATAAATATGCTACACAGTTTATTACATTACAACCACATGGATGGGGTTAGATCAATTGTATGTAATGGAAAAGGGCTGCGTAATATAATATAACTTACTGCTTTGTTCGTTGGCTATTACATTCATATCTTGTTATAATAATAACTTCTCTCTGAAGTAGGGGTGCACATCATTTATTGTGATAAATATCTCCTCATGATAAGAATTTACATTTGTCTAAATGAGAAACTAGAATTAATTATGTTCAAAAGGAAGAATTGTCCAAATTTTTTGTTGTTTTTCTTTCCTTTTTGTTTTGTTTTCCTTTTTGTTTTGATGAATACATTTAAATGTGATCACTGTGGGATACCTAGTGTCACAAATCATAATGCCTTATGTAAAAAGTGACCTTAAGATGGCTGTTTTAAATTTGTCTAGTTCTCAGCAGCAGTATTTGTGGAGCTATGATTACTTTGGTAAGCAGTCAGAGCCACACAGCTACCTAAGAAAGACTGTGAAGAAGTAGTGATTATTTGCTCCATCCTCAATTATATTATTATCACGATAATACCACAGAATCTTATGATAAGATTTAAGTCCTTATCCTCCAGCTGTAATCCTAGCTATTTATTTAGCGAGTTAATTGGATTTTTGCTTCAGTAGATGAGATGTCCAATTTTTTTATAAGACACAGATGGTTGGAAGCAATAGAAAGACAAAGAACGTGAAGAGGGCTGGAGAAAAAAAAGATTTTAGGTTGCTGATATGGACATTGCAACATTTTTTTGTATCCCTGGAACATAGAGAGATAAAATAGTGGGTTGTTAGGAAAAATCCTACATGGTCTTTAAAGATTTTACTAAATGGGCAAAAAAAAAAGAGATGTCCAAATATATATCAAGCCACCTTTACTGTTATATCACAATATGAATTGTTAAAATCTAAATCTAGCTGCTATTTAACCCCCAAAATCACTCATGCTGCACAGTGGAAAACCTGTGCTTGCCGAATCATGATGTTAGCTATTCTGTTAGGACACAGAGATGGAGGCACTGAGTGGATCCCGATATCCTCTAATGGCCTAGTTATATCCCTGATCTAAATCCAGATGTGAATCTAGAGCATAAACTGAGCTAGAATGTGAAGAAAGCACAAATGTTTGGGGATTTGATAAAGATGCTTAAGAGACCCTCAAAAAACTGTAGCATATAAAGAGATATTAAACCGATGACCATTTTCCTTTATGTTTCCTATTATGTGTTACTTAGTGTTGCATTTCTATGTAAAATCCTGGTGGGTAACAGGGGTGGATTTAGGACATTTTGGGCCCTAGGCAAAAACAAGCATGGGGCCCTCGGAAATGAGAAGACAACACATAAAACAGACCAATTATACAGATACAAAGTTTTAATAGAATAGACATACATTATTTGTTCTGGGTTTTGTCCTTCGCTTCTTGTCCCTTTTCTTGTTGTTTTCCTCTCTATTTTTTGTACTCAGCTAACTTTTCATGCTGTCTCAAAAGGAATGAAAGATTTTTTTCCCCATCACTAAGCTCACTTAGCTCATTGCTCTTTCCTGTGTTTCCAAAAAGGCGAAAGTAAATTACGTAGTCGTTCTTTTCACTGTAGACAAGCCGCTGCTTTTCTGTTCTCCATTTTTCATTTAAAGGAAATAATAGCTGCATGAATCATGACAGCAGACAAGAGAGAGGAGAGCATGATGCGGGGTAACGAAACTACTTGCTCTGGAGAGTAGTGTTCGCTGCTTTTATATGCTGTTGCCAAAGCCTCCAGTAGCGGAAAAAAGTCGTTAGATTTAGTGCTAGGCACTTTTTTTAAAATAAAAGTACTAGAGGGGTCTGAAAAGTTGCTAAATATAGCGACAAAAGTGCTTCGTTTTTCTGCTATTCGCAGTATTTGTTTTCAAATGATTTGCTGCTGCCTGTTTGGACCTTTCTGAACATGTGCAGCAAATGGACTGATCCAATATGGTGGACACTGAAGGGGGGTCTGAGACACACTTAATATCACAAGTGTTCTGATGGCATTTTATCAAAAACATTATTAATGTGCACAAATAAGGAATAGTTGTATTAACCATAGATGTAAATAGAGTTTTATGGTGCCCCTAGGAACTGGGGGCCCTAGGCAACTGTCTAGTATTGCCTAATGGTAAATCCCCCCCGGTGGGTAATTAAGGCACTGTTTCTGTGAATCTTTATCTGTAGCCTTGCTGATATTCCAAATATTGGTTTTAGAGGCTTTCCTAAAAAAAAAAAAAAATCCCAGACGTAACTGTAGCATGTGAGCTAATTGATGGATTGTGGTCGTCAAAACGCAGAGTACCACAGCACTTATACAACAAATAAACCTAATGGTTGAGCCCATACTTACCTAAACCTGTCAGGGAAACATCCGGATGTGAACAACAGAAAAATGATGTAAAAGATGGAGCTTTAACAGTCACAAGCTCAAATAAACCACAAGCATTAAGTCTTTTTCTTTTAAAGGTTTCAGAATTATTAGATTTTTTAATATAAATACCACAAATTGAGAACCGGTTATCTATTAATGTAAAGAACAAACTAAAAAAACACAAAACTCCAGCCCTACCTGCCTGCCGCCCCTCCCTCGGCTGAGTCCTGGCTCCCCGCCTCACTGGGCGTGCTCACTGATTTGGACGGGGACACCGGTGTCGGGACTAAAAAAATGTAATAAAAGGTTAAATTTCACACTGCAGAGGCAACAGCACAGGACTGTAGAAAAGAAGTAAATAATAGTCACAAAAAAAGAAAAACTCAAATATCTCCTCATCGACCTACACTCTGTTGTTTTACAGGACTTAAAAATAACTGCAGTTAAAAAATAGCGACCCACTTTAGAGGTGTAGAAAAGGGTGTTATTACGATCTAAGACCACTAGAGAACAGTACTTGTTAAGGAGCTGAAAAGCATGAAAAGAGGCAAAGCATCATTTTTAACAGTGGAGTTGTAAAAGAGAGATGACAATAGGTATAGGAGTATAGACATGAGGTATTAGCTTTTAAAATAAAAATAAAGAAAAGGAGCTGCTTAAAAGGGACCTGTGTGCTGTGTTTAGAAAATAGAGTTTGATATACCTAGTGGAGGTTCTGGGGAGATGCCAATACTCTGTAGCAGCGCCTCAGTCTCCCTACGCTTGCGGTCCAAGTCCGAATCCTCTGGGGTCACTTCAGTTTTCTGCTGGCTGTCTGACTTCTCCATAGGGGAAAACAAAAAACATCAGAGGGAAACATTTGAGTTTGACTTAGAACAGGTAGGTTATTATTTCTTTTTCTTTTCTTTTCTTTTTTAACAGTGTCCTGTCTGGCGATGAGGCAATAAGAATAATTGTCTTGATTCCAAAAAGAGTCCAACAGATTTTACTTTCACAAGTGGAGCAGTACGGCTATCGTCATAGGGTTCCGCTTGATTTATGCATATAAATTGCTTTATTATAATTATGCAGGGAGTTTTACAGATTATATGGATGCTGCAATGTAGGCAGAACAGGAAGGGGAAAAACAGAAAAAAAGGAGAAAAGATGAAAGAAAGAGGAGATAGAAGGGAGATAATGATAAAACATTTACAGTCTGCTTCATCACCTGAGATGTAAAAAGAACAGCACAACCAGTGGACATGGTACGAGACATACAAAAAAGTAACACCTAGATACTATCGCTGAGGTAAAAGTAGTATTATTTAATCTGACATGTATTCTGCGTTACCTGAAGATAAGAATATGGGCTTTCTGTATGGAAATGAATCTCTAAGTACCTGGAACCAAGCACCTGTAGTTGTTTGTGAAAGTGCACTTGTGCATGTTAAAGTTTATCCAAAGGAAAAATGCACAATAGTGTTTGGTTATTATTTCAATAACAAATCAGAGCATGATTGTTTTTGATTGTTTTTTTTTTTTTTTCTCACCTCCACCTTTTGCAAATATTACAGCCTGAGAAAAAGCAGCAAAAGAAAAAAAAAACCCATGCATGTTTCTTTTACCTCCTTCTTCTTCCTCTCCTCCTCCTTTCGTTTCTTCTCCTCCCTGATCTGGGCGAGGCGCTGCTTCTTGCGCTCCAGCTCTGCCTTTAGGTCACTTTTGTCTGACATGCTGTCCTGGACGCCTTTAAATAGAACATCAATAAACCACAGATGACACTGAAACAATATGTTTGCTTCTACCTAAAAATTATCACAGAAAGATGTAACTTGACAGAATCAGAAGCTGACACAATATCTTGCAAAATAAATACAAAGATTAATCAAAAGGGATTACAAAAAACATCTAAGGAAATATACACCAAACACAGCTTAGTCCATACAGATTTATTTATTATGTGCAACCATATAATGAGTCAAAACTGTGCAAAATAAGGAACAAAAAGGGTCAATTTGAGGTAAATGCAAAAAAAAAAAAAAAAAAAAAAATGAATATAATTTAACACAAACATTATTTTTAGGGAAACTACCAGTGGGTATATATTGAAGAACATTGGTTTAAACATCATATTTGTCGTGGCAACCGTTTTATTAGAGAAACAATGAAATCTGATGGGGTAATTCACTGTGAGCCGTTTGTGCTGCTTTGTTACCGTATGTTAGTGATGACGACACGCAGTAACGTCTATATTTGGTTATTGACAAACAAAAAGATTAAAAACATGAAGGCATTAACGGCCATATGATGGTGTCGTACCTGATCCACTTGTAGGGCTGATGATGTGTCACCGGTAAAGATGCTGTCTCACTGCTAGAGGAGAAAAATCAACACATCCTCTGTTGTTGTTTCTGTGCATCAATGGCGTCTCTCCTGCAGAAAGATAGTCGGATTGGATATTTGTTAACGATTTATTTAAAAATATGGGTTATTGAAACCCCTGAGTGTAAAAATACGAGGCTGGAAGCAGGTGCACAGCACGCCGACACATCCTCTGGAAGGAGCGAAGAGGGAGTGATGCTGGAGAAGAGGAGAGGAAATCCCTCCCTCTATGGCAGGCCGTTTTGACATTTATTAGCTTGACTGAATATGCAATCCCGACGAAGGCCCCATGTGAAGTTTTTTTCCCGCACCTCTTCTTTCCTTTTTCCTTTCTGGAATCCGCTTAAGTTCCTCTTTTTTGTATTCATCGTCTTGTACGTAACGGTTATGCTTCATAATTCCAAGCGTTAGTGTAAAAAAAAATAAAAATAAAAAATACTCAAATTCATCGTTTTTTTGGGATCTTTATTGCGGTTTGAAACATATTATATGATTGTATTTTTACCAACCGTCTAATGAACTATACACCGTTAACTAATTAAAAGTATCACTGTCTGCTTTGCTATTGGTGTCGTGTTTAAACGGCTCACCATGATGCTGAAATCTGCTATGTGTTGTGGTATAAATNTTCCTAGTCAAAAGGAAACATTCAGATATCTGAATGGCCATCTTCCTATCTGAAATACAATGGTGTAACGACACAACAATACGCCAGTAAGCAACATTTTTTGGGTGGGCCCCATGTGAAGTTTTTTTCCCGCACCTCTTCTTTCCTTTTTCCTTTCTGGAATCCGCTTAAGTTCCTCTTTTTTGTATTCATCGTCACTAACACATTGTACGTAACGGTTATGCTTCATAATTCCAAGCGTTAGTGTAAAAAAAAAATAAAAATAAAAAATACTCAAATTCATCGTTCTTTTGGGATCTTTATTGCGGTTTGAAACATATTATATGATTGTATTTTTACCAACCGTCTAATGAACTATACACCGTTAACGCAGTAATTAAAAGTACCACTGTCTGCTTTACTATTGGTGTCGTGTTTAAACGGCTCACCATGATGCTGAAATCTGCTATGTGTTCTGGTATAAATAAAGTCTGGTCCAAAGTTTATTTTATTAGGTGGTCATATAAATAATTTTTTTGCGTAGGGTGCCTACCAGGTGTAAGTGACGGGGCCCCTAAGCATCTGCATACTCTGCTTACCGATAGTTACACGATTACTAAAATTTAATTATTAGTATAAATGACGTCACGTTTCTCATTCATGTGTATAGTTTGGCAAGCCATTTTAACATAGATTCGGTTTATGGCAAGCCTTATTAACATAAATTCGGTTTCGTCTGACTATCCATAATTACATTCCAGATATCTTAAAATACTTTTTGACTCGACAAAATCACATTTTGACTATCCGGAATGGTAATTTAAGATATCTCTATTTACATTCTGATTAGGAAGAATAATATTTCAAGATATCTTAAATTACATTTTGACTAGTCAAAATTCCTTTCAAGATATCTCATATTACGACAAGGGATTTGTCATTTAAGCGTCACACGCTGATTTTATGGCAAGCCTTTTCAACATAAATTCGGTTTCGTCTGAATTACACATTACAATAGTATTACACAAATCTGAAATTACGATTAGTCATAAAGTAATTCCAAGATATGTCGATTTTAGTTTTGACAAGTCATAATTCTGAATAAAGATTTGTCAAATGCCAGCAGAATTCAAGATATCTTAATTGTATTTTAGGATAAGAGATATGCAGTTTTGACTAGTGAAAATAAAATTATAGCAAATAAAAGCAAATAATGACAAGACCAAACAAATTTAAAGATATCTTGAATTGATTATGGATGGTCAGATGAAACCGAATTTATGTTAACATAGCTTGCCACAGTATTGGGCTTTTACTTCCACTCTTCCTATCTAAAATAAATATTCTTCCTATCCAACCATGAATTCTGATGAGGATGAACTCTAATTTTAGATATCAATAATAGAGTTACTACAAATCATAATAACTATTTCAGATATCAAAAATGAATATAACATTACAGATATACTCCTCCTTCTTAGGGACGCACATTAGCAACACCGCCATCTAGAGGCCGTCTGGAGAATAAATATGACAACAAGATAAGGCTGCAATTTATTCATTTCAAATGATAATCATGACTAAAATCGTGTCAGATGAAAAGCTTGCAGATATTTCCCCTGTAAAACATTTTAGAAAGTTACATTTACTTAAGGAAATGGTAATTAAAGCAAACTATGCTCATAGTATAAATTTGCTTAACTTAAATGTGTTTACTAATACTCCTGTAGGCTTTAAAGGTAGAGTGGAGGATCTTCTTTTTCCAGGTGGATCATCAAAATAAGTGGTCCTCCTAATTATCATTATCATCATTATCATTCTGGTGATATGTTTATGTAAGAAACACCTATCAAAAAGCTGTTTTCTAATCACAGGAAAACATTTTATACAAGTTTTTCCTCTTCTACATTTCATTTAAAAATGTCTAATAATTGCAATTTGTTTTAAAGGTATAATGTAGTGGAGAGGGCGGGAGATTTTTTTAAAATTCGCAAATCCTCCACTATAGCTTTAAGGTCAAGAGGTGGGTAGAGTATCCCAAAATTTCACTTGAGTAAAAGTAGCACCACTTCATCTTATTTTAACTCAAGTAAAAGTTTAAAAGTATTAGTTAAGAAGTGTACTCAAGTCATGAGTTACTGATCTAGTTACTACCATGACCATAACAACTGATGTAATATTTTGCAAAATAATGTAAAAGTGAACAAAATATTAAGTGATGTGAAAAGTATTGTGATTCAAAGAATAATATAGAAAAATACAGATTCTGAGTTACAAAGTTTACAAATGTAATAGTTACAGTATGTAAGAATAGGCTAAATGATGTAAACGGTTTACCGCATTTTTACCTAACCTCAAAAATGACATGGTCGAAATCACATTCAACCAATAAGCTTTGAGTTCAAAGAAGAAGAAAGTGTGTCCCTCAATAGTGTATATTTGTTTAGAACAAGCTTGTTTCATTAACTGAAGTTATGCTCAATGGATGATGTAGCATGAAATTTACTTAAGACTAGTGATACTTTATCATATTTTACCAAAGTAAAAGTGAAACCTACATTCCTGTAAAACTACTCCTAAAAAAATTTTTTTTAAAGTTACTCTATTAAATGTACCTGCTACCTGCCTCTCTGATAAAGTCTATGCATACTCTGCATGAGCAGACAAATGCATTCTCTCCCAGGGCTGCAAGATCAAAGTGACAACATTTTTCTTGTTCTTGTGGTTTGTTTTTGTCTTATACACATTTTGTGCGTAGAGCTATTTTCTTTCATTTTGCACTACAGCTGATCCTATAACTATATTACTCTGGTACCATTACTGTATAGTCAAAATACATCAACAGTAGGGGCCAATGAGGACTTCAAAAAAGTTATGCACTTGAGTTCTTGTGCATTATAAAAATGTCTTGGCTAAGAACTTAGCTGTAGCTACCCTACAGAGCAGTATCATTTATATTGTCTAAATGTATTAGGCCTTTAGACTCGGCATTCATGTGCTTTCAAGTGTACATGTTTTTAGGATTTGCTTTTTTATGTATTCACCTTTTGGCTAAAATCACCAGTAATAAAAAAGAAAAAGAAAAAAGGTAAAGGCTTCGACATTGCACATGATGGCTGCTGATGATGTCATGCAAACATTTGAATCAGGGGCGCTGCACCAGAGAGGCATCTAAAACATGCAGGGCACTGGCCCTAAAGGACCAGGTTGGAGAACTACTGCACTACTGTGCTTAGAATTTAGAATTGAATGTATGCAATAACTATATATATATAAATATCCATCTATATAAATACCAATGTAATCACCCTGTGCAATAACTCTGTATAAGAATCCTGCTTTAAAAAAAAAAGCTGTCATATGTGGACGCACTATATATACTGTATATATCCCATGCCCCTTTTTCTTCCTTTAGCACCTTCTTCCTCTCGTTTTGACTATTTGAGCTGATGTAACGAGTACATTTCTCCACTGTGAGATCTATAAAATCAATCAATCAATCAATCAATCAGTCTCTACCATAATTTTAAGATGGTCACAACATACAATGTTCATTCAAAGCATTATTTATTATTCTTATGCAATATTATTTTTGGACAAACTGAATTGAAAGGGTTTTTTATTGATGGTGTTCCATATTTTTAGAAATGGGCAAAAAAAAAAGAAAAGATGAAAAAGCATTTGAATATACCTTTACATGTTTTTATTATATAAGTGAAAGGTGCACCATTCCCGTCCTCAAGATCTACCATTTTACAATCTTCAGAAGCAGAGCTGATTGACATGCTGATTAAATTCAGCCTTTCAATTCAGGTGTGATGCAGAGGGGATGCATCTAGAAGTTGCAGGGCAGCAGCTGTTGAGGAATGGACTTGAATGAAATTAGCAACATAAATTTAATTTATTATTAGATACAAATCAGCCATATGCACCATGTGCAATAGAGAAAATACCACATTGTAATACCTCTGTGTGATAGCTGCTTTAAATTTGCATTCTATGAGAAATATAATTTTAATGTAGTTTTTATTTCAAATTTTAAACTAAGCCTAGGATGCTGAATGAGAAAAAAGGCACATGCATGGGATGCTGGGTAGTGGTTAACTATGTGCATAGTGCAATGTAACATCAACATCTACCTTTCTTTATATTGTTACCTGTTTAAAATTAGGAATATTTCCAATTTTAAGTGAAAATTGGCAGATGTAGATTTGAATTTAGAACACGCTCTGAATTATTGTTTTAAGTGGGGGAAAGTATGGTTATTTTCAATTTTTTCCCATGCTGTTTGTTGTTCTTAATTAGAACTCGGATAGTCCAATAACGCATTTTATATATATATGTAAAATCCATTTTCTCACA